TTTTTTTTTTTTTTTTCTTGAGACATGGTCTCTGTATGTAGTCCTGGCTATCCTGGATTAGGCTGGCCTCTTAAGTGACTATGTAGTTGAACATGACCTTGAACCTCTGGGTCCTTCTTGGATTACAGTGAGCCACCATGCCTATCTCTTCTTCATTCTTTATCTAATTTCTCAAAAAATTAGTCATGATATTTAATATGCTTGGCTGTTTTTTGAAATTCTGTTTCTAAGCTTTAATATCTCTCATTTTTGTAAACTAACACAGAAGGGTGCATTTGGAGGCAAACCTCCTTTTTACCGCTTGTCTCCTTCCTAAGGAGAATTCCCATTCAGTAAGAGGATGGCTGGCTGGGATAAACCCCAAGGCAGTTAGTTAGTTTATAGATTGTTGGTTGCCCTACTTAAATCTCACCATTCTCATAAACATTTGTGTTTTAAAGACACGACTGCTGGACCAGTACTTAGTTTAAAGCACACTCAGTGGCCCAGGACAGCCTGGAACTCACTAGCCTACGTTGGTCTTGAGCTTTTCTGGGATTATAGGTACAAGCCACTACACCTGGCTTAACCTGATTAATTTTGACTCTGTTTTTAATATGGCCTTTCTACCATATAATCCCCAAATAGACTTGGGTTTTCCATGTGAACTAACTACTTGATTAGACATAGTGAAGAAGTTTACAAAAAATTTCCTCGTGGGGCTGGAGAGATGAGCACTTGTTCTTGCAGAAGTCCTGGGTTTGAGTCCCAGCAACACATAACAGCCCACAACTATATAACTCCAGTTCTAGAGGCTCCAACTCTTCTGAGTCTGAGGCCACTAGGCATGCACAGGAAGCTGAGGCAGGAGGATTGCTAGTTCCATGTCAACCTGAAATTGTATACCAAAATCTTGACTCAAAAATAAAATTCTCCTTGCCTTACCCTTTTTGAATATACTGGTAGTTTACTGTGACGTGTATTTGTACATTGCAATGCTCTTATAGCCCCAATTAAATATCATTATTCTTTCAAGAATTATAATTATAGCTACTATAATGCCACATACAAGTGTCTATATGAACACGAGTCTCATTGCTCTGGAGGAAAATAGTGAGATGTATAGAATTACTGGTTTATATAGTGAGTTTATGTTTGATTTTATAAGAAGCCAGAAAATAATGGGGCCAGAGATATGGCTCAGCAGTTAAGAGTACATGCTGTCCTTGCAGAGGATCTGGGTTTATTTCTCCATACCTATATGGTGGACTGCAACCATCCATAACTTCAGTCCCAGGGGATCTGATGCCCTCTTCTGATCTCTGAGGGCACCAGGCATGCATGTGGTACACAGATATACATGCAGGCAAAACAGTCATACACACAAAATAAATAAAAATAAAAAATTTGTTTAAAGATCTGCTCACATAATTAGAGGTGTGAATATA